AAAGCTGAGCATCAGGTTCCTTTAGGATTATTGCAACCAATGACGATTCCTCAGTGGAAATGGGAAAACATAACGATGGATTTTGTAGCGGGGTTACCTTTAACTCCAAATAAAAGAGATTCAATCTGGGTGATTGTAGACAGATTGACTAAGTCAGCCCATTTTATTCCGGTACGAACTGATTTCTCTATGGACAAATATGTCGAGTTGTATATCAGAGAGATTATACGGTTGCATGGTATACCTGTTTCTATAATTTCTGATCGAGATCCTCGATTTACTTCGAGATTTTGGAAGTCTTTGCATGGAGCATTGGGAACTCGATTGAATTTTAGCAGAGCATTTCATCCTCAGACTGATGGACAATCTGAGCGAATGATCCAAATCTTAGAAGATATGTTGAGAGCTTGTGTAATTGAATTTAAAGGATCGTGGGAAAAATATTTGCCACTTGTCGAGTTTGCCTACAACAATAGCTATCAGTCGAGTATTAAAATGGCTCCCTATGAAGCTCTTTATGGAAGGAAATGTCGTATGCCTTTGAACTGGTACGAGCTCAAAGATAAAGAAGTGCTTGGTCCTGAGTTGATTCAGGAAGTAGAAGAAAAGGTCCAAATAATTCAGAGTAATCTCAAAGCTGCAGCAGACATACAGAAATCATATGCAGATCTAAAAAGGAAAGAAATTGAGTTTCAAGTTGGAGATAAAGTGTTTTTAAAAGTGTCTCCATGGAAGAAGGTGTTGAGGTTTGGTCGAAAAGGAAAATTGAGTCCTCGATTTATTGGACCATATGAGATTGTAAAGAGAGTAGGATCTGTAGCATATCAGTTAGCTTTACCACCTGAGATGGAAAAGATACATGATGTCTTTCATGTTTCAATGCTTCGAAGATATAGATCTGATCCCTCTCATATCGTGAAACCAGAAGAGATTGAGGTTCGACCTGACTTGACTTATGAGGAAGAACCTGTTCATATATTAGCTTACGAGGTGAAGCAATTAAGGAATAAAATTATTCATTTGGTCAAAGTGTTATGGAGAAATCACAAAGTAGAATAAGCAACATGGGAACGTGAAGAAGATATGCGACATCAATACCCCCCATTTGTTCGTGCAATGAAAATTCGAGGACAAGTTTCTTAAGGGGGAGAGATTTGTAACATCCTAAATGACAGGTTAGTGACTAAATTGTAAACATTCAGAATTTGGTGATTAAAGTAAAAATAATTGTTAGTAAATATGAAATGAATTTAAGGACAAAATGGTCATTTGCAAGGAATAATAATTAAAAAAAATTTAGGCTATATTATAACCCACGTGGGGCTTGAGTAGGAAACAAAAGGTTTCCATATTTTTCTCATATCTTCTTCCTTCTTTCTTATCTTCTTCACTCTTCTCTTCTTCCAAACGTGAAGACCCAAGCTTAAGGTAAGAATCTGAACCTTGGTTGTTTCTTTGATTGTTTAGCTTGGAAATTGAAGTTTGGATGTTATATAAGCTAAAGGAAAGCTTATATGACATTAAGACAACAAGATAAGTGTTTTAGAGATAGATTTGGAAAATGAGTTTTTAGATGAAATTTTGATATGGATGAGTTTTTGAAGTTTGAATAAGATTTTTGACTTGTCATCAAGCTAACTAAGAAGTATGAGGTGTTAGAATTCAAATTAGAACATGTTGGAATTTGGGTTAGATTCTTAAATTCTACATGGAGAATTAGATTTCTAAGTTTTAGAAGTATTTAATGGATAATAATTAGTTTAAGAGTATGCAAGTTAGGAAATAAGAAAGGGGATGATATATGAGGTATTAAGCTGAAAAGAGTGGATTTTCGGGCATAAAAGAGGATTCTGGGCAGAGTGCATCGATGCACATTCATAGTGCATCGATGCATCAAGTTTAAAACCCAGAAATTATTTGAAGGTGTATCGATGCATTTGTAATGCATCGATGCACTCTTTTAAAATAGAAACATCGAATGCAATTAGTGCGTCGATGCATAAGTCATGCATCGATGCATCCCAGTAATAATAAAACATCGAATGCATTTTATGCACCGATGCATCAGTAGTGCATCGATGCATACCTTCATTAAAGGATGAAATTGGATTTTCTCTGAGTTTAAGGAATGATAGGTTAGAATATATTAATTAGTATACTGATAAGTATCATTGAATTACTATGTAGATATCGAGCCTAAATGAGTTCAGGAACAATCGAAGAGTTAGGATTGAAACAACGAAAGCGAGGCCAAGGTGAGTGCCTATTTTAAGGGTGGTACAATGGAATAAGACTTGTGATAAGTCTAATCCTATGTTGATTTTTATAGAACAATAGTTATGAACATGCATACATGATAATTATTATGATACATGCATAAGGTATATATGCTCATATGATTTGATAAATGATATATGTGATATGATAAGTGACATGAGCACAGGAACATATGAAATATAAGAATGATGCCCATAGTATACGATATGAGAACTATAGGTATAGTTGGCATGCCAAGAGTCGAGGGTTTCATAGGTCCTTCGGGACCACTCATAGGTCCTTCGGGACAAATTCACAGGTCCTTCGGGGCAAATTTCATATGCCACTCAGTGGGACTTATACGAGTTGTGGTGACAGCAATAGTGCACAACCTCAATTTACTCGAATACCTTGAGTTCTCAGTAATGTACATAGGCTTATAGAAAATTATCAAATGTAATTGCATTATTATTGCTAAATGTTATATCATTGAATGGATAGATTACATGTTCATATTTATAAGGAATACATCATCATCATATTCATATGCCTCACTAAGTCTATGACTTAGCGTGTAAGTGATTTACACGTAGGTACAGAAAAGTAAGAAGATCGATCTTAAGAGCAGCAACACAGCATACCATCATTAGGGGATCAAATCAGAAGTGAACCACAAAGTATATATTTTTGTTGTATAAAGTATGTTGGCATGTAATAAGTTGTTAGTTACGAACGCTCTGTTCGACTTTTATAATGTTTTGAATGTAATTATATAAGTGTATAGTAATGAATGGTTGAATTTGTTTACGAATTTTAAGTGCATTGTTTATACATATTTATTGTTCGCAAATACATTTTTTTTACCTAAAAATTTTATACTGAATATATTTTAATAATATGTTATCTTATTTTCCTAAAAGAAGTGCAAATGTTTTGTTATTTTATAAGGAAAATTATTTTGAAAAGGTAATGTCACATCTCGGACTCGGACTCGGGTCGGGTACGGGTACGGGTTAGGGGTGTTACATTCCGTCCCCATCTCCGGCGAAATCCCTCACATCCATTCACGGTCAGAAATCCCTCACAATCATTCAGAAATGGAAAATCAACCTCCGATGGTTAGTTTTTTTAATTATTTTTATTTTGAAATTTTTGCATTATTTTAGGTTTTTCATATTGAAATTGATGATAAGTTTACTGGTAATTTCAATAATAGATTAACCATTTCACTTAGATTTCTTATTAAATTCATTCGATTGCTGCCAATACTGCTAAACTGTTTAGTCTTTAACCCTGTAAAGTTAGTATTTGTCTATGTTTTGTCTTTTGGTTGAAGTAATGCAATCCATTAAAGTTTTAATTTGCAGAAGAAGAATAGTTTCTAAACTTAAAATCGCAACATGAAAATAAAAATCGCAACACGAAAATGACTATCGCAACGAGAGAAATGAAAATCGCAACGAGAGAATCGCAACGCGAAATGAAAATCGCAACGAGATAATCGCAACGCGAAACCAAAATCTCATTGCGATTTTCATTTCGTGTTGCGATTCTCTCGTTGCGATTTTCATATCACGTTGCGATTCTCTCGTTACGATAGTTATTTCCGCATTGCGATAGTTATTCTCTCGTTGCGATTTTCATTTCAACCAAAAGACAAAACATTGTTGCAAATTTTAGTTTCAAGAATAAACTACTACTCTTTATGTTTATTGTTTTTGTAGAAATTTTTTTCGGCTTCATTGACATTAAGGAATAAAGTTAACCTAGCCACTAAAATTGCTTCGAAGCTTTCACCTGCACAAAGAAACACTACAGCAAAACAGAGTTTTAGCGGCGTTTTTTTAGTCTTATAGCGGCGTTTTTAAGCGCCGCTAAAAGTATTTGCGGCGATAGGAAAAACACCGCAAGAAGCGCCGACAATACCAGCGTCGCTAAAGTTAGCGGCGTTTGAGAACAAAAAATGCCGCAATAGGTCAATATCTATTACGGCGTTTTTTGAACAAACGCCACAAAAAGTCGATATCTATAGCGGCGTTTTTGGAATAAACACCGCAAAAAGTTATGATATATAGCGGCGTTTCTAGAAAAAACGCTGCAAAAAGTCAGATCTATAGCGGTGTTTTTGGATACAAACACCGCAAAAGATAAGACATATACTGGCGTTCTTAGAACAAACGCCGTAAAAGGTCAGACCTATAGTGGCGTTTTTGGACACAAACGCCGCAAAATGTCAGACCTATAACGGTGTTTTTGAACACAAACGCCGCAAAAAGTCAGACCTATAGCGACGTTTTTGGATACAAACACCGCTAATTACCTTTATTTAGCTAATATTAATTGATTTTGCATATTTCATTTCTGCTATACATCACCTAAATTTATATCTAGCTTTATCTAATTAACAACAACCATACATTTTAATTAAGACAAAAAACATAAAGAAAAATACTTAACAACAAAATAAATTAAAGTTTTTTTATGGAGAGAGAACCTTAAAAGACATTAAAGTACAAATGAGTTACAACTGAACCTCAAAGTGTAGATATACATGGATTTGTTGTTCGATACATCCTCAATTTCACTAGCGTCATCATCATAACCTCCAGATATGCCTTCTAAAGCTACTTTGTTTCCCACTTCATTGGAATTTGTCATATTCATCGTCTTGACATCTTATTTGAAAGTATCATTTGACAGTGAATGATCTCTCCTCAATAGATTAAAAACAAATGGGAAACGTTGTGCCAGTCTATTGAAGAAGCCGCTTTTTGTTGAAGTTTGTTCTTCAAGATTACTGCAATTACAATAATTTAGATGAGACTAAGAAGAGAATGAAACAACCAGCAGAACTTGCATTCATAACATACATGTGAGTGATTGAGAACTGAAAAAAGATGTTGCAACAAACAACAAAAACAGGAAGTCAGGAACCATGAAAACTAAATATATTCTACATAAGAATGTAAAAAATGTCATCATAAAGAAAAAATTTAATAATGTATTGGTTGCCATCTTACTTTTAGAAGTTAGAATTCTTACCCCAAGAATCTGAGCAAGTTTGTATTCTTAGAAAAGTTAAGGAAATACAAAAGAGGGATAAGCAATTAAATCTTATAATTTTGGATCAAGAAAGCATGCATGTCTAAGTCCCTCAAAGTTCATAGGGAAAACCCTAGTAGGTTCAATCATTTCAAGATTGCTTCATGTGCCTTTTGATCCTATTCATGATCAGTAAAATAAACAAATGAATCAAGGAACATATATTTCCAGTTATAACTTTGTACTATAAGAATTTTAGACGATAAAAAGAACTCAAAAAGTGAACTACTTACTCTTAGTAGTAAAGGAATGTGCCAAATATTTGGAACGTCATAGAGAGTGACAGTATTTTCGGCCTAGAAAGAAGTCATATTTCTTAATAACAGTAGTTACTGATTTAGGAGATGGAAGAGAAGCAGGCAAATAGAATTCATGTTTCATTACCGGAACATGGCAAAACGGAGAGAGCTTTAACTTGACATTATCATCAAGTGCCTATTGCAAAAAAGGGGCAAGTGAATGAATAAGAAATGTCAAATTAGCACTGCTAAATACAGTTGAAAAATATAAATAAGGGTAGAACCATTGTACTACAACAAGCAAGAATATTTGGTCTCAAGACAAGTCCTCTAAGTCCCCGAACATTGTGCTAACAAGCATGTTCCCTCATTGCTTGATTCTTCTGAATTCCTTAAAACGAAGAATTATACCATTACTTCAAACCCATAAGGACTGTACATATACAGAAAACAAAGAGATAACAAAGAAAATATATTATATCTGAGTTTGAGCTTCGCAGCTCCTAGAAAAGTATCAAATTATTAGAGTGAAGCTTTCAAAGAAAAACATGGACCATAAAACTTTCGAGAGTTTGGTTATATTTTCTTCTTTCATTGCCAATGAAAGCTTGACCTCAGTACGGTATAATATAAACAAAAAGAAAAAATAAAAAGAATAATATATTCAAGGACTTACCTGTATTTGTTACTAGCATGTTTATTGGCCACGAGTTTAAAGCTTGAATAGATCATCTTACTATAACACTTCACCATGAAGTTGTTTTGATATAAACAAAAAAATCTCTTTTAAGTATTTGCACCAAAAGCTACTCATTGCTTATACTAAATTTCTTCTCCAATTGAAGTAATTGGAAGGCTAGTAACAATCAAGGACCATGAACTCTTAAATTGGTAATTTGAAATAAAAAATTTATAAATAGAATGGGAGATTTATATTGTAGTCCAAATGAAGGTACAAAGTAATCATTACTTCAATAAACCCCAATTCTGTAGACATCATAAAATTTTCAACGACAATTTTATTCACTCGGCTAAAATGTAAGAAAGCATCTCAATTTCACAGTTCACCGCACCATCACCTAGTAACAGATAAGTGATTTCAATAATCTATTGGGGAAAAAAGCAACACACATTCCAGAAAATAACAATAATCTACCTCCAGAGTACTTGAGAGTAAGGAGTCAACAAGAATCTCAGAATTTATTATGATATAATTTTCATTTATAGGAAATAATGATGAGTCATAAGTAGCATGTCAACAGAGCCTCAGAAAGTAATTAAACCTCAAAGATACCAACACACTGGTGGAATGCTTTTTACAAAGTGTCAAAATTTGTAAAGTTGATAAAAGGGATTAAGTTAAGACACAAAGGGCCCTAGTGGAACTACATAGTTTCTCTTTTTCATATTAGGATAAAATTAAACATGATATGAGAATGTGCAGATATCCTCACAAAAACTAAAGAAACTTATAGCAAATGATATGCTGACAATGATAACCATGACATTAAAACTGACATTCTACAAATATTAATGAATGCATATGCAATACATCTATTAATTACTTGAATCGAAAAAACCAGTAGTAATGACTTTAAAAATTTTGGGCATGGCTGGTGTAGTACACTAACCGAAAGAATCCATGCACATCCTCTGCTAGTTCCTCCATACGATAATAAAACTCACTTATATGTGTCCACGGATCAGTTACAACCATGCAAGGACATCCCATAGATGATGCAGATGGCTACCTCAAAGCTACTGAACATAAATTCGGTTCATTTGCAATGATACTTCAATGGAAACGATCATACACCAAGCCACTCGACAGTAAAAGGAATGCAACTAAAACAAATTCCATTACATTGAAATTCAACTGAAATATCATAAATGAATTCCAAAGCGACTGAACTCACTAAAGATAGCTATTAACATAAATAAAAACAAGAAGTGTACCAGAAAGCGAGAGCTCGTGCGACACCAATAGAACGACCTTCGACTTCATGAAACTGAGCGGACTCGGCTTCGCAGAAGCGATCTGCGGAGTTCGTTTCTCGGCGCCTTGAATGACATGCCGAGCAGAGTCTATACCATCAACAGCAGCAGAAACGTTCCGATCACACGAATCGAAGCGGCTCTCATGAAGAAGGCAATAACCGTTGAAACAGAAAGCATTAGGAGAAGAACCAAAAGCCATCAGTTCTGTAAGTGGTGGTGGCCCCATCCAACGGCGGCGTGCTTCGCCATCGTCTTCTTCTCTTCGGTCTAGGGTTGAGATTAGACAGTGAGAGATTGGGTAATGCTACGTTTGGCATCTGAGGGGTTTGTTTGTTGGCAAAATCGAGCAGCTGAAGGCGTACATTTGGCGGTGTATGATGGAACACTTGGAAGAAGATTTTTGGCTTTGGATTTCGGTTCCTTCTTTTCGAATTTTCTTTTTGACTCGGATTTTTTTACTGGTTTTCGTGTTCGAGGGAGCGACACTTAAAATTTGTAAACTTGCGGCGTTTGTAAACACAAACGCCACTATAGTACAAGTGTATAGCGACGTTTGAATAAAAACGCCACTAAAGTACGAGTCTTTAACGGTGTTTGTATAAAAATGTCAATAAAGTATGGGCCTTTAGCGGCATTTGTATAAAAATGCCACTAAATTACGAGTCTTTAGCGACGTTTGTAAACACAAACGCCACTATAGTACAAGTGTATAACGGCGTTTGAATAAAAATGCCACTAAAGTACGCGTCTTTAGCGGAGTTTGTATAAAAACGCCACTAAAGTATGAGTCTTTAACGGCATTTGTATAAAAACGCCACTAAATTATGAGTCTTTAACGGCGTTTTTAAACACAAACGCCACTATAGTACATATGTATAACGACGTTTGTATAAAAACACCACTAAAGTACAATTCTATAACGGCGTTTGTATAAAAATGCCACTAAATTATGAGTCTTTAGCGGCGTTTGTATAAAAACGCCACTAAAGTACTACTCTTTTACGGCGTTTGTTGAAAAAATGCCACTATCGATGAACCTATTACGGCGTTTTTATAAAAACGCTGCTAAAGTTACCATTTTGTGGCGTTTGCTATGTAAACGCCGCTATATATTTAAAATTAGTAGCGTTTACTCCTAAAACGCCGCTAAAAACGTCGCTGTAGAACAATTTTGCTGTAGTGAAAATTGTTTGAGGAAACCTGCTTCGGGCCATGGCTGAGAGTATAGCATCCGGGTGGAGATGCTAATTTGACCCATTTGTGGCTTCAGACCATGACTAGCGATCTACCCGACAGTATACAACGTGGTGAGGAAGAGATATGGTTTCATTTTCCACCAGCGTATACTTGTTTTGGGCAGAAGGAGTTCTGCTTAATCACTGGTCTACGATTCGGACACGATGATGTAGGCCGGTACACTCGTCATATCACCCGCCCATCATGGTTATCCCGGGTTTTTCCTGATGAGTCAATAGAGAAGCAGAACTTACACGTCGACGACCTGAAGAAATTGTTTAATAAGAAAGATGGTTTTACTCGGATTAATGACGTCGATATTGTCCGAGTATGCCTTCTAGTACTTTTGTATACCGACTTTTTAGGCAGAGAGGCCAGACAACCTATTCCTCAGGAACTAATATTATTGGTAGAGGACTTAAATGCATGGAATCTGTTTTCGCGGGGTTCGTATATATGGAAAGCTACCTGGACTAAGTTGTCGTCTGCCTTTGATGACCGCAAAAGTTTGCGTGGCGATGGGTCGAAATACACTTTGTCAGACTTTGTTTGGGCCTTTAAGGTAAGAATTTCTATATAATGTTTTCAAAATTATAATTAATTATTTAACAATTACTAATGTTTGTTATTATATTGTTTGTAGATTTGGATATTCGAGGCTTTCCCCAGCATGCGGACATATGCATTAAAAACTTCAAATGATATTCCTAGGGCTATTTCCTGGAAGAGGAAACGTATGTTGGATTGGGAAGACTTAATACCATATGCGACAATAAATAATGTAAGTTAACACAAATACTATCATATATAAACAAGTTATTAATAGTAGACGTTTAACTTTGTTTGAGTTTTTATATTTTTAGGAGGCCAACACTCCATTACAGAGACTGACACCTACGGAGGCTGAGTTTGCCACTGATTGGTGGCAAGCTAGTCAGCGTTTTTTTGATGGCACGAATGATGAGCACCCTCCACTTCCTCCACTTCGAGAGCCATCACCTGATCGACCCGACTATACACCTCTACAACGAGAGCCATCACCTATCCCGTCACATCATCGAGCCTCTTCTCCACCATCACCTCATGATAGGCGACCGGCAAAGATGCCACGACTTCTATTTCCCTGTTCTCCACCTCCACGGGATGAGTCAAGAGAGTTACGTGATGAGGTCAATGCCTTGCGTGAGGAGTTCGGTACTCTACGCGATAACGATGGTGCATGGCGTGTGGAGGTGTCTACTTTACGTGGTGAGGTTGCCGCTCTACGTGAGATGGTAGTATCGTTCCAGAATGAGGTTCATACTCTACGCAACGAGGTAAGTTTAAGATTTTCCATATTTAATTTGATGATAAATTTACTCGTAATTTCACTTAGATTAACCATTTCACTTAGATTGCTTAGTAAATTTATTCGGTTGCTGCCAATACTGCTAAACTGTTTATTCTTTAACACTGTGAAGTTAGTATTTGTCTTTTGTTTTGTCTTTTGGTTGAAGTAAATTTATTCGGTTGCTGCCAATTCTGCTAAACTATGTATTCTTTAACACTGTGAAGTTAGTATTTGTCTTTGTTTTGTCTTTTGGTTGAAAGTAAATTTGTTCGGTTGCTGCCATTTCTGCTAAACTGTGTATTCTTTAACACTGTGAAGTTAGTATTTGTCTTTGTTTTGTCTTTTGGTTGAAAGTAAATTTGTTCGGTTGCTGCCAATTCTGCTAAACTATGTATTCTTTAATACTCTGAAGTTAGTATTTGTCTTTGTTTTGTCTTTTGGTTGAAGTAATGCAATCCATTCAAGTTTCAATTTGCAGAAGAAGAAATAGTTTACTTTCGCAGCACGAAACTTAAAATCGCAACGTGAAAAATGACTATCGCAACGCGAAATGAATCACAATGAGAGAATTGCAACGAGAAATGAAAATCGCAACGCGAAACCAAAATCGCAACGCGAAACTATAATCGCGTTGCGATTTTCATTTCGCATTGCGATTCTCTCGTTGCGATAGTCAAATTCGCATTACGATAGTCATTTTCGCATTGCGATAGTCATTTTCACATTGCGATAGTCATTTTCGCATTGCGATAGTCATTTTCG